ACACGACAGTGTCAAAAGTTCCCCTGAACTGTGTCACTACTGTCCAATAGAGCATATCACAGACATGACACATGCAGTTTCACAGTTTCAAGTTTTACTAAAATCACAGTTTTTCTCGTTTTGACCTGTAATTGTGAATAAAATCCAGGACAAATGAATCACACACTGACATGGATGAAATTTGACCTGGAACAGCTGGAACAGCCAAAAGATTTGTTATTTTTACAGCAATCCAATGTCATAAATGGACACATTTGACCCAAACAGTATGTAAAGGTTAAATGGCTTTGCGGTTGCAATGGTCGATGTTCATAATAAACATGGATTAAACCTGAGCCCAGAGGCCCCACCCACCTACTGCCAATCAGAAGAGAGTTTGTTTGAACCAGGTATCGGGAAAAAATACTCCACTAGAGTCAAAGTATAAAAATATGGAACTGGAATTGGGCATAATCAGTCCCCTTATGCAAGTCAAGGGCATTTTAAAGTGTATATACGTTTACTTCCCACTGTGTTAGCCATACCTGTTATGTAATATCTAAAGCCAATGTCAGCATGCCAGCAATTTAGACATGTAGACATGGTCAAGATGACTCCAAAAACCAGTTTTGATTTCACAGGCCTACACTCAATATTATGAGTGTTTATGTTAACTTCTATTTTACTACTTTTCAAAGTTTTATTTTGCCCTTTTCACTGCCTAAGGACACTGTACACCTGCATAGGTTTTTATCTTCTGTGTTAAACACATTGAGTTTGATGAAATGTATATAAATAAAACTGACATTGTCATTGCTAAACATCAAACTGAACATCAGAAAGGGAAAGAAAGAAGACTTTGAACATAGTTTTGTTGTTGATGCCTGATGGGTCGGTCTGAGTATTTCAGTAACTGCTGATCTACTGCAGAAAATATCCAGTGAGCAGCAGTGAAAATACCTTGTGGATGTCAGAGGTGAGGAGAATGGACAGACTGCTTCAAGCTGATTGGAAAGCAGCAGTAACTCAAATAGCTTCAAGGTGTGCAGCCTTCCTCTCCTGTCAGCTAAGAATAGGAATCTGAGGCCACATTTCGCACTGGTTCACCAAAATTGGACAACAGAAGATTGGAAAAGCACTGACTGGTCTGACGAGTCTCGAGTTCTGCGGCCACATTTAAAAAGTAGGGTCAGCATTTGAAGTAAATCACTTGAAATCATGAAGCCATCCCACCCCACATCAAAGGTTCAGGCTGTTAATGGTGGTGTAATGGTGTGGGGGATATTTTATTGGCACACTGTGGGCCCTTTAGTATCAGCTAAGCATCGTTTATAAACCACAGCCTACCCAAGTATTGTGGCTGACCATGTTCTAATGGCTGTTTCCAGCAGGATAACACACCATGTCTGAAAGCTCAGGTCATCTCACACTGGTTTACTGAACATGACAGTGACTTCACTGTACTTAAAGGCCTCCACAGTCACCAGATCTCAATCCTTAGACACATTACACATTACTTGATGCTACCATTTCAACATGGACCTAAATATTTAAGAAATGTTTCCAGCACCTTGTTGAATCTGTTCTTGAGCTAAAAGGAGAGTCCAACCTGTTAACTGTAGCAAGATGTACCCAAGAAAGCAAACGGTGACCAGTGTATAGCCCTCTGAAGTATGTGATTTGCTGTTATTTATCAGGGGAGTGGCCTAAAATGAGTACCAATGTTGCTCCACCGATTTACACACATGGGGATGGCAGGTTAGGTCAGGGGTGTATTGTGATCATGTCCCTCCACTTAATCCGTTACAGAGAAGCAGAGTGATCCAAATAAACATACATATGTTTACAGCTTTGACATGGGGTTATAAATAATTAATGTTTAATTTAGTAGTATTATTATTTAATATATGATAATAACCACAGATTGTGCATATATATGTGGGTAAAGAAAGCTTAGCTGTGCTTTAAAATCAAAGTAAACCAGCAGCTGGGACGAGCGTGGAAATCTGCTTGGTGACAGGAAGTAGCTCTGAGTCCAAATTTAGTTCTGCAGGATCAATAGTTTCAGTGAAGAGAGATAAATTACCACCTCTACAGGATTTTATGAATCAGTAGCACTGCTACTTCAGCAGCAGTCCCAGTGATGTCACTGCTGATGATCCTTAATATAAAAAGTTTTAATGCCTCTTTGGTTTCCATTCAGTCCTTCTGCGAGATGAAGAGAAGTCATCACATCACCAGCTTTTGTGCCACACGCGTGCAGAGAACAACCATCCAGATGGCAAACTCGGGGCTCTGGCTCTGTTAGTCTTCCCTGAAGCGCTCAGTCAGAATTTAAGTGCTGAGATCATTAAGCTCTGGCGCTTTCCGTGTAACGTGAGAGCCGCGATGTGCTGTGAAGTGCTCTCGCTGCATAAAGGCTGAGAACATTATGGAGTTCTGGGGAAAAAATCAGAGCACCCTTCAGATCTTTGATATTTCAACTCCCTAGACAGCCAGATAGAAAGAAAGGAAGGAAGATATTACCTTTTTTTTTATTCTACACTGATTTCACTCCGCACAATCTTTTCTGTTGTGCAAATGTCTGTCTGGCTGCTACTTCTGTGGCTAAAAATAAACGCCCGGACTGTAAATATCATCAGTCACCGATGAGCTAACTATTATTGTTCGGATTGTTCGGAGGGGAGTGGAGCTGCCTGTGAATGATGTGAATGATGCATGCATCTAATTACATTGTTTGATTGCCACATGAAAAATTAACTTAATTGTCTGTCAAAGTGGTGATTGATGCATTTAGCTAAGCAGATGTTTTGGACTCCTGGAAAACTGTCTGATGGATTAACTCCACATAAAAAAAAAGAAAAGAAATGTATGCAGAAAAGTGTTCGAGCATTGAGCAAACTTACAGCTGTGCAACCCGGAAATAGTCAGAATAATATGCAACATTACTGCAGTCTTGTAAATAAATGAAACACCAATTTTCCTGATGCTTTGGCAGCTCCAGCCTGTGTGTGTTTCTGCTGATTAAAGCGACACCGAGAGCCGATGGCTGGCGGCAGCAGTGGCACAGTGTGCACTTCTGTAGGCGCACACCTTTTATGTGCAGTTATTTCAGGCCCTCAGGCTTTCAATTATATCCAAACCCAGTATGAAAGCTCCTGTCACTTCTCTCACTTGTTTCCCTTTTTTGTAATGAAATGATTTCATGTCCATGTGACTGAGTGGGTGACAGAGAGAGACAGAGACACGATGAGTAAGCCTCCAGGTCTATTAAGCAAGTGAGGACAGTGGTCTGTGCTCATGGTGTGTGTGTGTGTGTGTGTGTGTGTGTGTGTGTGTCCTCAAAAAAAAAGCAGTGCACGTGGAGCCCCTGCTGAACGGTCCTCGCTTCTTTGATGATGAGCCATCCGACGTCTTCAAGAAAAACAAACAACCCATAATCACCCCGTCCAACCACAGCATCGCTTCCTGCAGGTCCACAATCTAAACGACTCCGTCTCTGTGGCTACCCTGTTGCCAGGAGACAGTTCGGGTGGGCCGGGTTGATGTCTTAGTAATGATGGAGACGGGCAGAGCTAACAGAGGGGTTACATCGGTAAAGGCAGAAATAACATTCAAATAATCTCCTGCTCAGTCTAGTGAAGTTACTGAGCAGGGAAATCTTCTTCCCATGCTTCCCACCTTCTACCCATGCTGAAGGTGAAAGTGCAAACTTTCACCTTCAGCATGCCGCTACAGCATTAAAGTTTTCTTGTAAACAAAACTCAGGCTATACTTTATATTTAGCTTCTAATCAAAGATACGGGGTCACCAAAACAACCCTGACTCATCAGGGCACGGACACCAGACCTCTGTGGGGTGGTAGATGGCGCCTCCGTGAATCATCTTTGCACAACATCGCTTATGCTTAATAAGATCTGTGGAGTTTGGGGGACATCTTGATTCTTTGTCCTTTAATTTCAGTGTTAAACAAGCCTTTATGAAGCCGCCTTTTCCATCTGATAAAATATCACCCAAATTAGTGATGCGGAAAACTAGTCAATGCATTTCTTACTTCTAAATTCGATGTGTACTTCCTTGTTATCAGGTCGTCCAAAAAGCTCCCTGAAGAGTGAGGAGTCCTAACAAGGACTTTCTGTAAAAAGTCTTGAATAACCAGACATCATTATATCTTAAAGATCTCACAGAACTATATTATCTGAAAATAACTGGTGGTGGCAGGTGGCTGCTCCTCCCTGAGCCTGGTTCTGCTGCAGGTTTCTTCCTGTTAAAAGGGAGTTTTTCCTTTCCACTGTTGCCAAGTGCTTACTCATAGGGCTTTCTCTGTATTATTGTAGGGTCTTTACCTTACAATATAAAGCAGCCTGAGGTGACTGCTGTTGTGACTATTAAATAAATTATAAATAAAACTGAATGATTAATCATGCTTGTATAGACTCAGGCTTCCTGGGGATTTCCCATGATGCACTAAGCACTTGAACTCCACTCTCGGTGCATTTATATGGTATCCCATCATCTGCCTATCAAAATGATGACTTTTCTCTCTCATAATTTGTATTTTTTTCTGATCGCTGTGTTTTTTTTCTTCTCTTCTTTCACTCTCCCATCTTAAAGTGGAAATCTTCTTCCCTATCCCATTCTTTCCTTCCTTACACTGTAGGATCTGTATGTTTCAATATAAAGCAAGTTGATAAATAAAATCCATAAATTTAGCTCAGTGCAATTTTATTTTACTTTGTGCTGTTTCTCAGTGCATTTCCTGAATACCTCTTAAGGTGCAGCAGGGTGTATTTTCCTGTTGGGGAGAATATCTCTTTGCCATAGCTGGGTCTGTAGCAGTGTTTTGGCAGGTTGTGCATGTAACATCCAAATATATGCCAGGACCTAAGGTTTCCAGGCAAACTGAAATAATCATTGTTGTTCACTGCGCCTGTCAGTGGTTTTAATGTTGCGGCTGATGTGTGTGTTTTGAATTGTGTAGTGTGTATTTTGATGCAGAAAATTACAAAAGAAGATGAAGCTTTAATTTCTCCAATTTACTGAGTTATACAATAAACAGGGTTAAAAATGGATTTAAATGGAGTGTACAATACGACCGGAAAAAGAGCAAACAAAAGGACAGATAATAGTATTTTTGCACACTCACACATTCACAAATTTAATGTCTCACAGTAACATGTTTCCTTCATGCTGATGGGTCTTTGAACAGAAGTCCTATTTTTAGTCCAGCACTCATCTCTGACCCTATTCTGTCACTGCAGTTGTGACTTAGCAGCAAGCCGAGCGACGTACTGCTCTTAGAGCATCACTGTCCAGGTCTCCTGAGTAGGTCACTCAACTCAATATGCATGTGAGGTTACTTTGTGTGGGATTCGCTGGCACGAGTGTGCAAAACAGAGAGGCGCTGATGCACGCACGCTGTTACTGTGCTGCCACCTGCTGGTCACTTCCCACACAGTCACAGCGGCTCTTCTTAGAAGTGAAAAGGTTTCCTAAAAATCCCATCCAGCCCTTTGCCCCACTTACTTCTCCCTCATATCTCTCACAGAGCGGGTGAGGGGTCAGAAAAGGAACAGTCTGTTTACTTTGTCTAGATCCATACAGAAAACAACTAATTCCCTTGAGATGACATTTCTTCATTTTTTTGATAAGAGTTTCCCAACAAGTTCTAGGAAAAATGTTAGACCCAGCTCCTCTTCCCACAATCTCAAAAACATTTAACAACAAATGCAACACTGGCTGCATTTCACAATTATTTACAAAATTGTTGTATGTGCTTGAGGCAGGATAAATAAACCTGTGGCACCGTCTGACTTCAGACGCCGGGCCTCATGGAGTATTAGACAGATAATGAGGAATCCTCAATCCAGCACTGATGAAGAGTCTTACAGTATAACACTTCTCTGGCTCTGTGTGTTTTCTCACTGCTCTGTTCCTTCCCCTTTCCATTTCTCCTCCGTCCTGGCGAGAATCTGAAGCACCGTCTGGTTGAAGTCCTCAGGCTGGTCTGCGAAAACATAATGGCCCGCTCCTCTGATCACCTGACAAGCGCACACACAGTGGATGCGAAATAGTTTTGAGATAAAGGTGCCACCGTTCCACAAGGCAAATAAAAGTAACTTGACATACATTCAGGCAGATTTAGGCAATAAAAATGCTTAAAATCTTGCTTAAAATGTATTTTGAACCTTGTACTGACAAAGTTAAAGGTGCAAAATGTAAAATAGAGAACCTACTCGGATTTCCACATCTGGCCTGGTTTTCTTGAATGCATATCCAGAGTGGCTGTCAATACTGGACCGGGATCCATAAATGAAAGAAATAGGAATTTCAACCTGGATCTGGCCGATCCTGTCTAGCATGGGCCTCTTAGCCCAGCCGTAGGGAACGGTCATGTTCTTAAAGGCTGTCTCGCCACTGAAATGAAAAAATAGAAAAGAAAAATGCACAAGCTCCTAAGATCTTCTGAGAATGGACATATTTGTGCACGGATGGTTTAAAATGTTCGTCACCTCGGAGTCTGGGCATTCAGATGATAGATGTAGTCACACACAGTGTAGTCACTGAACACAGAGGAGTATTTCTGCTTGAAGTCTGACCTGATGGTCTGGACGAGCATCGGGCCTAAAAGAGACGCACAAGAAAAGAAGGAGATTTAGTTACAGTTCAGACCTTTGAATAGAACAATGGCACCTCAAGCAGACGTTTGATGTT